ATGATATATATCTTAAAATATAAATAAGATACATTATGTAAACCATGAGGTACAAAGAACACAAAAGGCCAGGTTTATCACATTTATGTGCAGATAATGTGCACATGAAAATATGTACATAAGTATACTGTTAGCTGTTGATCTATAAGAATTACTCCATTTAGAATTTGTCCTTGTGACAAGACGAACTGCAGCTTGGTTTCTTGCTGCATGGACGCTCAGTTCCAGTGCCACTCGGACATGGCGCTCTCAACCAAGTCCCCGCGTGGGTACCTTCCCTGGACGTTGTGAGCTCAGACACTGTGCTGCACCGTGTGATCGCAGCAGCCTGACGCACACTGCAGCGGCGGATGGTGCTCCCTTCCCTTTCAGATTGTTTTCTGGCTGTGCTTTGGCTTCAATTTTTCCTTATAAACCTTAGAATCAACTAAGTTCCAAATGTTTCTTAAATCGTATTACTACTATTATATTAAGTGTATAGGTAACTTAAGAGGAAATAGCATTTTTGTGATAAATTTGAGGCAAGACTATGGGCCAGTTTTTTAAAACAGAGGTGAATGATGGTCTGAGCCCCTCCAGGAGCCAGGGAGGTCCCCTCTGGGGGCTCCACGCTCCCCTGGGGGCTGAGCCCCACCAGCAGCTGCAGAGGTCCAGGGACACCCAGCTCCCGCAGGAGAGCAGGATGGAGGGTGGAGACTGGACGTGGCAGCTGCGTGGAAAGACAGCTGCGAGGCGTCAGATGCTTGGGCCCCAGGAGGTGCTCGGTCCCCAGGAGGATTGTTTCTGCTCTGAGATAAGTGGGGTCATTACAGATGGAGAGTTAGCAACAGATAAGAAGGGTAAACAGACTTTTTACCTGGACTGGGAGGCCACAGGCTTCCAACTACTGGAAAACTCACCAGGAGGCAGGCTGGGAGCTCTGCAGAGCATTGGAACCAGCCAGCCTTGGTTTTATCCAGACTAGTATATAACTGCCCCAAACTCGCTCAGCACAGGGAGACTCCATGGAGTCATGTGGGGGCACCCAGAAGAGAAGGGTTCCCAGAAGTTATCTTAGGGGAGGTGGATTCTGACATTGATGGGGAGTGCCCCAGGCAGGGCACACTGAAGGAGGCTACTGCTGATGGGGCTGTGTAACAGGTGTCCTTGAGGGAAGAAGCCCTGTAGCAGATACAGGCCAACCAGGTGGAATGAGAAGGACAACACCGTACAGCCCCCAGGGTACATCAAGTCACCTGTCAAGGACAGATGGCCCCAAAACAGTGTCCTTTGAAGTTGAAGTAGGTGACTTTGAAATGACGGCAGCCTATTTGTAGCTTATCTATGCAAACTTATCTGTTAAAAACATGGGTGTGCTTTACACAAGCAGACCTGGAAGCCACTATTAGCTGGGACTGGGGGGTGCACCACAACCTCCTTTTCCTCGCCTGTGAAATAGGAGGATAATGGTAGCTACCTGGAGCTGTTTTGTGACTATGAAATGAGCTAATGCAACCATGCACGCAAAGAGTTCGCTCAGGGCCTGGCCCACAGTAAGCCCTAGTGAACAGAGCTGTTAGGATCCTTGTGTGCAGATCTTCTTCCTGGGAAAGCTTTTATGAGCAGATATTAAAATAAATAAAAGAAATTGGGTGATAAGGGCACTTCCTGACTTAGTTAAAAATATTTTGCTCGCTGGGGTGAGGGAGAGAAGTAAGGAATCAGAACTACACAACAGGACTTCAGATGCTTCCACCTTAATGGTCTCCCTCAACTCCAGAAATTGGGAAACGAATGAAAAACTTTTGGGATCTTTGGAAAATGTTTCCTCCCAACAGCACCGAGCTCAGCACCACTGTCTGGGCCGGGTGAGGGCAGAGCACGCTGCTGTCTTGGTGAATTATGTCACGTGAAACAGGTGACAGGCTTAGTATTTCATGAAGCCATGGGTATTCGCTCTTAGAAACACAGTATAGCATTTAAGGAACCACCAGCTGGTTACCCCGTCGCTTGAAATTTGAGTTGCAGTCAGATATTCCTAGTGGGTCTCTCCTTAAAGGAATTTGATCCTTTTAACCAAAAGAAAGCACTATCAAGGTGTAGTTCCTACACAACACCCTGCATCTGTCTTTTTTAAAAAATGCTTGCTTTTTATTTTAATCTACTTGAAAGGCAGAGTCTCTCTCACACACAAACAACCCTACACCTGTCTTTCATTCACTGGTTCATTCCCCAAATGCCTGCAACAGCTGGGGCTGGGCCAGGCCGAAGCCAGGAGCCCAGAATTCCATCCAAGTCTCCCACTTGGATAGCAGGGGCCCTGGCACTTGAGCCATCCTCTGCTGCCTTCCTAGACACATTAGCATGAAGCTGGATTGGAAGTGGAGTAGCCGGGACTTGAACTGGCACTCCAGTACCAGATACAGGCGTCCCCGGTGGTGGCTCACCCCACTGCACCACAATGCCTACCTCTCAAAACTTGGCATTTGGATTCAGAGGCTCTGCGTGTGAGGCTTGCCAGTTACCTACTCCTTAGACTTCATCCCAAACAGCTGATAATCAGAACCATAACCACCTCATGAGATTACTGTGAGGACCAAATGAAACACGCATAACGTTCTTTCTTTGAAACATTCATTCGTGTATTTATTTTCATTTTATTTGAATGTTAGAGAGACAGAGATCTTCCATCCACTGGTTTCCTCCCCCAGATGCCTGTAACAGCTAGGACTGGCCAGGCCAAAGTCTCCCGTGTGGGTGGCAGGGACCCACGTATTTGAGCTGTCATCTGCTGCCTTCCAAGATGCACATTAGCAGGAAGTTGTAGCGGGAGTACAGGAGCTGGGACTTCAACCAGGCACTCCAGCATGGGCTGTGGCATCCTAACCACTGTGCCAAATGCTCACCCAAATGACCTTTCTAAACTGTCAAGTAGGGGGGAGCTTTGGCCTGGGGAGCTTTGGCCGTGTTCTGTTTCTGAGTGCCTGGGTTCAAGTCCCAGCCCTCCTCCTGACTCCATGACTCCAGCTGCCTGCTAATGTGAACCCTGGGAGGCAGCAGGTGATGGCTTAAGAACTTAAGTTCCTGCTACCCACGTGGGAGCCCTGGATTGAGTTCTCAGCTCCTGACTTCAGCTTGGCCCAAGCCTTTGGTGAATGAATCAGCTGATGGGAGATTTCTCTCTCTCTGCCTCTCAATTTTTTTTTTTTTTTTTTTTTTTGCAGGCAGAGTGGACAGTGAGAGAGAGAGAGACAGAGAGAAAGGTCTTCCTTTGCCGTTGGTTCACCCTCCAATGGCCGCCGCGGCCGGCGTGCTGCGGCCGGCGCACTGCGCTGATCCGATGGCAGGAGCCAGGAGCCAGGTGCTTTTCCTGGTCTCCCATGGGGTGCAGGGCCCAAGCACCTGGGCCATCCTCCACTGCACTCCCTGGCCACAGCAGAGGGCTGGCCTGGAAGAGGGGCAACCAGGACAGAATCCGGCGCCCCGACTGGGACTAGAACCCGGTGTGCCGGCACCGCTAGGCGGAGGATTAGCCTAGTGAGCCGCGGCGCCGGCCAATTTTTTTTTTTTTAATTTCAACTTAAACTGTGAAGTAGTATACCAATGGTAGTTACTTGTTATATATTTTTTCCACCTGTTGATGGAAAGAACATAGACTAGAAGTGGAGAGACCTGAGCTCCAGTCCTAGCCCTGCCGTGCCGGCCTCTGGAGCCAGGGAGATGTCCACAGGGCCCCTCCGTGTGGGGGGCAGGGTCAGTGCAGGACAGGAACGCAGGGCAGTCCTTCCATCAGGGCAACTTGCGTGTTCCCAGGAGGAGAGCAGGTGCAGTCCCAGCACCGCGGCCCACACAGGAGCCCTGGCAGGTGTCCCCATGCACAGCCTTGTCACTGGCATTTATGAGCCTCTGAGAGCTTCATGTGGCCATTTCTCAGTGTCCACGGGGGACGTCTCGCTGAGGAACCATCAGTGAACTTTGGTGACGTTCTTAATAAGCCTGTCAATTAGCAAAGGTAAACCCGACAGCGAATTAAACTCACCCGAGGCCATCTGCTGTCATTGTCACGACATTTTAGGAGCGTGCCTGCCCCAGGAGTGGGCTGAGCACCCCCAACCTCTTCCCAGACCCCTTTTGTTTGTACTGGGCAGCAGCACGCCCCCGCCCCCGCCCCCGCCCTGCGCTGTCTCGCACTGTCGCGGGCACCAGCTGCAGGACATGGGGATGCTGAGTGTTGCCGCGGCACCACGTGCATGCTGGTGCTCTCACCATGCCCCACTTTCATCCACCTTTCCCAGAGGAGGGTCCTGAGGCTCGGAGGGGCCAGGCGGCCCCACCCAGCCCTGCCCGGGAACCCTGGCAGACCCACAGACCTATGCACACCGACTCATGGCTGATCCACCTGCATCACCTGCACTCCTGCCGTTGTACCGCCTGCTGGCACTCTTCCTCATCTCTCAGCTCCTCTCCTGGGCGGAGTGGGCCACCTCAACCCCTTCCCATCTGTCACCATGTCCTCTTCCTCCCACCCAGGCTCCCTTTAGAGCCTGTCTTCCCAGGAGCCTCTGCTGGCCACACTGGCATCACTTACCCTGCAGACGGCCCTGGCTCCCAGGTGCCGGGCACAGGTCAGCCAGCTTGGGGTTCTGGGTCTGTCTGAGAGGGAATGTCCCCACCTCCACCCAGCCACCAGCACAACCAAAGCACTCCTCAAGGCGAGCATCTGGCGCAGCTGTTAAGATGCCGCCCGGGAAGCGGTTGCCCCGTATCAGTGCCTGGGGTCCTGATCCCAGCTCCCTGCTCACGCACACCCTGGGAGGCAGCTGGTGGTGGCTCAGGTACACGGAACCAGAGGCAGTTCCAGGCTCGTAGCTTGGCATGGCCTGGCCCTGGCTGCTGCAGGCATTTGAGGGATGACACCACGCAGGCCCGTCACACCCCCTCAGGGAGGCCCGTGTGCGGCAGCACCCGTCGGCTCAGGAGAGGTGAGGCTGGCACTGAGCATACCCGTGCTCTGTCCACAGGTGACTGCTGGCTGCTGGCGGCCATCGCCTCGCTGACCCTCAATGAGGAGGTCCTGGCCCGAGTCGTGCCCCTGGACCAGAGCTTCCAGGAGAACTACGCAGGCATCTTCCGCTTCCAGGTACCTCGGGACTGTGCCACGTCTCCTCACGGCCCCCTGGGTGGTCTCCACTAGTCAGCCCCTGGTGTCTGCAGACTCACAGGACCGCGGCCGGCCTGCAGAGGACACTGAGCGAATGCAGGGAGCTCCCAGGCCGCACACAGCCAGGGACCTGGCAGGGGGCCACAGAAGGGGCTCTTGGGACCTGAGGAGTGGGAAGAGCAGGGGTTCGGGGAGTAATTCATTCCCAAGTTACAGGATTTCTAGGAGGTGGTGTGGCGAGGACCCTACTGCAGCAGGAGGACTTGGAGGGACATCTCCCCGGAAGCCGGGGCCGGGGCGGAGGCTGGGGTCCCAGGGCTGCCCGCTCATGCCACCCCTCCCTCCCCGGTGCCCGCAGTTCTGGCAGTATGGCGAGTGGGTGGAGGTGGTGGTGGACGACCGGCTGCCCACCAAGGACGGGGAGCTGCTGTTCGTGCACTCGGCAGAGGGGAGCGAGTTCTGGAGCGCCCTGCTGGAGAAGGCCTACGCCAAGTAAGTGAGCGCACCCTGCGCCCGGGGCTGCCCGGAACGCCTGGGAGCACCCTGAGGTGCAGGCCTGTGCTGCAGAAGGGACCCTCCGGGCCCCCTCGGGCTCTAAGCTCGAGGAGTGCCGAGCGCAGGGCCCTGGCCCCCCTCCGCCCTGAGAAATGCCAAATGCACAGGAACCAGAAGGGGGCTGAGGGGGCCCCGGGAGGCCCTGCTTCCTTAGTGGCTCACCCCGCAGTTTTATCAACTGCGAACAGCAGGGTGTTGCCCATCGGGAAGAGTCCCTATGGCAGAGACAGGACGCTCAGGGAAGCTCGTGTCCTGTCGCTGGTTAGAACTGATTTCCCCAGGCGTCCGCCAGCCACTTCCCACCAGCTGTGCCAGGGCACCGCCAGCCACTTCCCACCAGCTGTGCTAGGGCACCGCCTGCTCTCCGTGGGAAGCCCCACGCCAGCCCTCTCCAGGGCGGCCTGCTCTTGGCCATGCCGCCTGAGCTCCCTCCATGAAGTGCCCCCACTGAAAGGCAGCCCCGGGCCCCAGGGGCTCACAGGAGGCTGCTGGGGCCCAGAGCTCAAACGCTAGATTCTCAAAGCTTTCAGAGCCCAGCCTCGGGTGGTCCAGAGCCCGAGCCCAGGCTGGCACAGCACCTGTCCTTGGGGAAGCGGCTGCATTACTAGATCGTCATCTCTCTGGCTTGCTCTCGGTGCAAACAGCCCATTAGCAGACCTCACCTCCCCGACAGGATGCTGGGGCGGCAGCCTGGGAGGCTGGGTCAGACCTGTGCTGAGGTCCTTCCAGCTCCAAGGTGCTGGGAGGCTTTGAAAACACTTCGCAAAGCACCAGAACCACAGGAGCTGTGCCCTCCTTGGCACCCAGGGCTGCAGGCAGAGCGGGGGGCGGGGGGGGTGGTCTCTGGGGCAGCTCCTGGAGTTGGCAGCCCCATCCTCTCCCACAGGATCAACGGATGCTACGAGGCGCTCTCGGGGGGCGCCACCACCGAGGGCTTCGAGGACTTCACGGGGGGCATCGCCGAGTGGTATGAGCTGAAGAAGGCCCCTCCCGACCTGTTCAGGATCATCCAGAAGGCTCTGCAGAAAGGCTCTCTCCTGGGCTGCTCCATCGATGTAAGCCCCCGCCTCCCGCCTGAACGCACCCCAGTCTGTACCTGCTGAGGGGAGGCCCAGCAGCACCCCAGGAGGCCCCACCCTGTCCACAGCACTCATCACCCAGAAGCCAGGGCTGGCCAGGCAGGGTGTGTGTGTGGGGGGGTGTCCTCCGCCTGCCGGGAATCACCCCCTACTCCGAGATTGCTGCCCAGAGAACCTCTGCCAGCGACGGGTCCTGACGCCCCCTGCAGGGTTCGTGGGTCTGTGTGCAGAGCTGAGAAGGCCCAGGAGGCAGATCTCAGCAGGGCATGGAGGGTGGGCAGGTGTCCTGATGCAAAAGCTGTGCCCAGTACCCAGCCCTGCCCCCTACGGGTGACCAGAAGCCCAGTAGACTCCCTAGACAACTTCCCTTCTGCGGAACGCGGGGTGGCCCTTCCTCCAGTTGTCCAACCCCAGAAACATGGGGGCAGGAGTGGCTTCCTGGAGTCCAACATAGCGAAGCAAATCCCCACTCCGGAGGGAAGTCGGGGCCGCCGGGCTGGGGGCTCCATGCAGCCTGGAGCTCTGTGAGGCTGGGCCGCCCACCGGCCCTCTCTACAGGGCGGGCCTGCGGGGCCCTGAACACACCACGTTCACACGAGCGTCCCCGTTCCAGATCACCAGCGCCGCCGACTCGGAGGCCATCACGCTGCAGAAGCTGGTGAAGGGCCACGCGTACTCGGTCACCGGAGCCGAGGAGGTAACCCTCTGCTGGGACGCGGGGTGGGCCGCCGCCGTGTTCCTCCCGTCCCCGCAGCTCCGGTGGGTGCGGCGGTGGGGCTGTGTCCGCGAGCCCGGCGGCGCTGCCGCGCTGCCCCCTGGCGGCCACACCGGCGCGCTGCAGGCGTCCGGCTGGGCTAGGTGCTGGCGCAGCTGCCTCCCCGCTCCCAGGGCCAGCTCAGCGCAGTCAGCCGCAGTAGGCATTTTAGCGTCTCCAAGTGCGTTCCCATCAGATCGCACAGAGGCCTCCCTGCCCGCGGTCAAATGTGCCTCTGCCTCTCACCACAGAGGGCCTGCGAAGCTTACCTGAGCTCATTGCCAACCCCGACGCGGAAACAGTAGCAACATCCAGTCCAAGCTGGAGGAGCTGACACATTGTACTCAGCGGGCTGTGACTGTTGAGTTCACTGTTAAGGACAAAACCCAGACCAGACCCGGGTCTGCTGACATGTCCCTGTCCTTCGCTTTTTTTTTTTTTTATCTTGGACTTTAAAAAGTTCTTTCCCCTCACACAGACACACACATGCTTTTATTTTTAAAAATGTTGAGTCTGCAGAAAAGTTGGTAGAAGGACAGAATAAGCATCCAAGCACTGCCCCTGTAGATGGCACAGCGATGACGTTTCGCCACATCCGCTTTATCTCTATGCACAGTCGGAAGCCACGGGTGTCCTGAGCTTTGACTCCTAAACGCTGCAGCATTGACCCCCACCCATAAGCGCGAACCCTTCCTCGTGCCCGCTGCTTCCCGCCGCTCACTCCGTCGTGTCACTACTGTGCAGTCCCTATGGGCGTTTTCCCAGCTGCCCAAGATGTCCATTCAGCCACAAGCCCATCTGCTTGTTCTGCCCTGCGCTTCTTCAAGTGGGAGGGCTGCTCTGAGCTCCGTGACACGAGGGCCCCCGTGTTGGTCAGCAGTGAGGTGCAGGGGTCAGCGTGGTTTCCAGAACCGTGTGTACATGCCTCTCACGACCCCAGTCCCGCAGGAGTAGAGCCCTGGGAGCTCTGGTTCCCGGGTCCCGGAGCTGGGCAGTGGTGAGGGGCTGGGGCAGGGGAGGGTAGCTCCTTCCACCTTTTCTGATGGGCTGTCATCCTGGCTCATGCTGCAGGGGCTTGGGCCCCAGCCCCTCCAGGCCTGGCTGCCCTCAAGCTCCGCCTCCCGTCTTTCATCTCCATCTTCAGGTTGAAAGTGCTGGGAGCCTGCAGAAGCTGATCCGCATCCGCAACCCCTGGGGAGAAGTGGAGTGGACCGGGAGGTGGAACGACAAGTGAGCAGGGCTCGGCGGGGAGCCTGGCGGGCATGCTTCTCACGGGGCGGGGAGGCAGTGTGCCTGGCTCTGGGAAACACGGCTCCAGGAGCACCGGCCATGCACGGGGGGGACCATGGGGCAGGCAGGCCCTCCGAGGGCCCCCGGAACCAGGACAGCGCCTGCAGCAGGCTGGGTGCAGGGCTACAGGCCCTGGGCTCCGTTGCCCGTGTCATGGTTCTTCTTGGCCCTAGCTCAAAGTTCCCTCTATGGGTCTTCACAGGGAGAAAGTACATCCCTCCTCGCCAGCACTTCTGTTCCCAGGCCGTGAACTGGGTGCAGGGACCACAGAGCCCATCCTATCTTGATTGCCACCAGGCTGAGCTCCCACTGGGGCCTCTCGCAGCTTCCTCCCTGCTCCTCCGCAGCCAGCACCTGCAGCCCTTCTCCCTCCTCCCTGGCCACAGCACACGGACACCTGCCGAGGCCAGATGAAATCCTCGTTGGGTTTTCTGTTGCCTTTAAGCGTGGCCATGCCTGGTGGTTTGGTCAACAGATGCTACTTCTCTGATGGGCTGTGTTCATTTTCTGGATTCTTCCTTGCGCCCGTCTCCTGGGATAAGGTGCCCTAAAGTGCTTTAGGTGCGGCCGAGTGCTCAGGGCTGAGCCCGGCTGTCACTGGGACGTCCTTGTCCTGCGCTAGTTTTTACCACCTCCCCTGACTTTGCTTGCAGCTGCCCAAACTGGAACACTGTGGACCCGGAGGTGAGGGAGAGGCTGGCCGAACGGCATGAAGACGGCGAGTTCTGGTAAGACAGGAGGGGCCCGGGACACACGTGTCAGCCGGTGCTCTGCCGCACGGGGGCGCGCGTGTTGGCCGGGGCCCTGCCATAGAACCCTGCCCAATAGAGAGTCAGACAGAAAGCAGTCTGTCCAGGGCCCAGAGGCTTGGGGTTCTGGTTTTGTTATCTCAGGTTCACTCTCAGACCCTGGCCAAAACTGTATCTGAACTCCTTTCCTGTTTCCATCTCAACAATGGGGTTCACACGCTGAGCTGCCTTTGGCAGGCTAACGCGCAACTCCCACAGTGAGGTTCCCAGCCCAAGGACAAGCAGGGCCAAGGTGGGGCTCTGGAGACTCAGCCCTGGACCCCAGTCCTTGGGAACAGGGGTTGGCCTGCACGGCTGTGTGTGTGCATCGCCCTGGGGACCCTGTGTATGCACGCGGCACACCGCTCGCCCCGAGTGCCCACGTCCGCCCATGGCTCCCCCTTGTCCAGAACAAAGTTCTGCGCCTCAGAGAGGTTCAGAGTCGCCCAGCTGGAAGGTGGCAGCACTGCTTCTGGGCTTTGGGCCTCCTGACCCTGGGCCCGCCGCCCTGCATGGTCCCAGCAGCTCAGGGCCATCAGTGTGTCCTCCACTAACCAGTGTCGCTGCTTTTGCCAGGATGTCCTTCAGCGACTTCCTGAGGCACTACTCCCGCCTGGAGATCTGCAACCTGACGCCCGACACCCTCACCAGCGACACCTACAAGAAGTGGAAACTCACCAAGATGGACGGCAACTGGCGGCGGGGCTCCACCGCGGGAGGCTGCAGGAACTACCCGAGTAAGGGCGGCGGGGACCCCGCTGTCCTGTCTGTCTGGGTTTCCGTCTCTGTGTTCTCAGCCCCCTTACCTCTTGCATCCGCTCGCCGCCCACCTTGGCAGAACCCAAGATTCCTAAGCTGTCTTCCCAGGCCCTGACCCCATGCTGTGCCCGCTGAGGCCTGCTCGACCCCCCTGCACACCCAGGAGCTACTGCACCTGCGCAAAACCCAGGCAGCTGAGTTCAAAGGATCACCTCGCCCACTGCCCCCGGCAGCCTGCACGCCAGGCCCCTGCCGTCAGCTGTGGCCCTCTCATGGGCCCAGCCCTTGTCATCAGCTTGACCCCTGTGCCGTGGTGGCCTGAGGGTCAGCCACTGTCTAACCGTGTGACATCTGCCCTTGTGGGGCACACAGAGGCTGCTGGGGGCTGCACCGAGTGCTCTGTGGCTGCTCTTCCACCTCTTCCTTCGCAGACTCCTCGGGCCACAGCGGGAGGCTGGGAGGGGTCGCACGATGCCCAAAGCCATGCGCCTGCTGGGATGTGAACCCAGGCTAGACCCAGTCATGGTGGCCCTGTAGGGCTGTGTGTCGACTCTCTGACAGATGAAGGCGCTGGGGTCGGTGGCATGCCAGGACCCAGAGCAAAGACGAGGACTGGCTGGCTGCCGCCCCTGCCACTCGCACGTCCTCCCCTCAGGGATGTGGCACCTCCGGGTCAGGGGTCAGCAGCTCCCCTCTCCCCTGCCACAGAGTAAGCGCTGCTGGGTGGGTCTATGGGCCCAGGCCCCTCAGCCAGGCCAGCAGTGCCCATCTCTGACCTCGGTTAGAGCCCAGCGAGGGGGTGGTACCACCAGGGGGCGCCACGGCTCTAGCCACCCAGCCAAGGGGGAGTCCCGGCTCAGGCCGCCTAGGGATCAGTGCAGGTGCCGGGCCCCGTGTGCACCTGCTCAGGGCCCGGCTCCTCTGCCCCTCCGGATGCAGACACTTTCTGGATGAACCCCCAGTACGTGATCAAGCTGGAGGAGGAGGACGAGGACCAGGAGGACGGCGAGAGCGGCTGCACCTTCCTGGTGGGCCTCATCCAGAAGCACCGGCGGCGCCAGAGGAAGATGGGCGAGGACATGCACACCATCGGCTTCGGCATCTACGAGGTGCGGCTCCCGCAGCCCGAGGCAGGGAGGAGACCCCAGGCCTGGAGCTCGGCGGAGGCAGTGTAGAGCCATGGCCTACTCACTGCACATAGCCGCTGCATGCCACCTGGGCCCCCAGCCCTTCCCGCACCCCCCAGAACAGAACGCAAGGGGCACTTCAGGACACGGTGGGCGGCACTGAGCCGGCAGGAGCCCAGCAGAGCCGTCAGCTTGGGCCGTGGGGAGCTTGGGACGGGAGGACAGGGGCTCCCCGTGGGCCCTGCTGGCTGGAGCCCTGGTATGGTGTGGCTTGGTGGGCGGAGCCTGTGATGTGTGGAGCCCCTCCCGGCTCCTGGAGGCCCGTGTGCCTCAGCCCCGTGTGGGAGGTCACGGCAGCAGCCATGGGGTGACATTTGCACCGAGGGAGGTGGCAAACACTGCGCATCAGACCTGCCACCCTGCTCCCCCGCAGTCTGTGGGCCCCAAGAGGCATCAGGGAGGGGGCCCTGGCTCACCCAGCACTGGTGACCTGGCTGCCGCCCCTGGGCGCTGGTTTCACACCTGTTCACCCTCTTGCCAAGTGGAGCTGGGGAGCAGAAGCTTCAAGGAAAATGCAAAGTGAATCTGCAGCCCTGCCCTCTGGGCTTGTGTTCCACCGTGGCCTCCCACAGCTGGTGCAGGTCACGAGGGCCGCTTGGTCCCATTTCACATGTAAAGAAGCCGGGGCCTGAGAGGAGCCTGGGCTGTGGCTGCCGGTGGCCGGCCCCGCGGGCTCCTCGCCTGGGGGGCCTTCTGCCCAGCTGTCCCGGGCTGGGAGGGAGGGGGCTGCAGCCAGCTGGGGTCTCATCTCTGCTTTGGTTTAATGCCCTGTAGTTGGGGCTGGCGGGCAGGGCTGGGTCTCGTTGGCATGGAAGTGCTCGGGGAATGAGCTGGTGTGCGGACTTGGTCGATGCTGCTGATGCCGTAGAGAAAAGGAGGCGAACGCGGGGCTGGCGTTCTCATGCGCTGTGTTCCCAGGGTCTGGGGTGAGGGCCCTTCATTCATCTCCTTTATTTTGCAGGTTCCAGAAGAGGTATGTTTGCCACGCATCGGCTTCCACCTACCCCCGGGGGCGCGGGTCCACCAACATGGAAGAGATGGACTGCCAGAGCCAGGGAGTGGTATAGGGCTTGGCCAGGGGCTGGGGTCCTGGGTTCTAGTTCCAGCAGTCTGTGTGGCTCCAAGAACAAGGCTGAGTCGAGGCAAAGGTGCACCTGCAGGCTGTACCATAAGAACGTGGGTGCACAGGGAAAGAGGCCGGGGCCCAGTTCCCAGGCTGCGCGTACTCAGACAAGGCACACATCCCTCCTATAGCTCAGTTTTCTTTTAACCTCCAGGTCTCCTCTCCCACATGGGCAGTAGGGCCCAAGCAGTTGGGCCATCTTTCCCAGGCACATTAGCAGGGAGCTGGATCAGAAGTGGAGCATCAGCCTCGAACCGGCACCCATATGGGTTGCTGATGCTGCAGGCGGAGGCTTAACCCGCTGTGCCATAGTGCCAGCCCCGTCAGTTTCCTTTCTGATAAAAACAGGCAGCTGTCCTCTTCACTGGAATCAAACGCTGGGAGGCAGGGACCAGAAGGGACACCGGAATGAAAGGCCCCGCTTGGGGTCGGCGCCGCGGCTCACTTGGCTAATCCTCTGCCTGCGGCGCTGGCACCCTGGGTTCTACTCCCAGTCAGAGCGCCGGATTCTGTCCCGGTTGCCCCTCTTCCAGTCCAGCTCTCTGCTGTGGCCAGGAGGGCAGTGGAGGATGGCCCAAGTGCTTGGGCCCTGCACCCACATGGGAGACTGGGAGGAAGCACCTGGCTCCTGGCTTCAGATCAGCACAGCACCTGCTGTAGCAGCCATTTGGGGGGTTAACCAACGGGAAAAAAAAAAGGCCCCGGTTGGCGGGGGCACTGTGGCCTGCTGCGCCGTGTTCTTGTGTGGCGAGCTGGTGCACCTGCTGGCCCTGGCCCCCCTGGTCCCACAGAACACACCAGCCCTTCTCCCTCAGTGTGGTCTTTGCTTTTACTCGTGTGTCACCCACCACACAGAATGATTCCTGCTGTGTGGAAAGCTGGGGCTCCCTCTGCACAGCTGGGTGGCTGGGGTCCCTTGTTCTTTTTCTCTGGCACGATCCAGACCTGGCCTCTGTGATCCTCATATTTGCCACCACGCCCACTGACCTCTGCTTCGACTCATCAGCTACGGGGGCAGACCAACATCCACCTCGGCAAAAACTTCTTCCTGACCACGCGGGCGAGGGAGCGATCGGACACCTTCATCAACCTGCGCGAGGTGCTCAACCGCTTCAAGCTGCCGCCGGGGGAGTACATCCTGGTGCCCTCCACCTTCGAGCCCAACAAGAATGGCGACTTCTGCGTCCGTGTCTTTTCCGAGAAGAAGGCCGACTACCAGTAGGTGGCGTGCTGCCTTCCTTCTGGCCTGGGGAGGGCGGGGCTGGGCACGGTGGCTCACCTCACCACGGTGTCTGTTTCCAAGCCGTTGCTTTCGCGTCGACCGCTGTGCTGGGCTGGCTGGGAGCCCAGGCCTGGCACCTGCTCAGTGCTGGGCACAGCTGGTGCGATCCTAGGATCCCTGGAGGAAGCCTGGTGGAGGTAGTTTAGTCCCCACTGAAAAGGAAAAGGTGACGTGAGCCAGTGTCACTGGGCTGACCCTGTTCTTTACCAAACCCAGTGCTGTCCCTCTCTGCCAGCCACCGTCCTGGGATCCTCAAGTCCCTGATGAGCTCCCCACCCGGTATCCTCGTCCTGGGCTGTGACTCCTGCTGCAGATCCCGGCTGTGAGCACCAGGAGCCTCCTGGCTCCTGTGCCGTGCTGCCCTGCTGACAGGCTCTCAGCCCGGCTTAAGAAGCCAGGGGCAGAGTGGGCACCTGGCGCAGCAGTTACGTCGCCACTGAGGATGCCCACATCCTGAGTCTGTCTCTAGGTTCAAGTCCTGGGTACTCTGCTTCCCACACAGCTTCCTGCTAGTGCACACTCTGGGAAGCCACAAATGATGGCCCAAGTACTTGGGTCCCTGCCCTCCACGTGGGAGACCTGGACGAAGGTCCTGGCTCCTGGCTTCAGCCTGGCCCAGCCCTGGCTGTTGAAGGCAGTTGAGGAGTGAACTGGCAGCTGAAAGGTCTTTTGGTCTCTCGTTCTCAATCTCTGTCTCCCTGCCTTTAAAATAAACTAGAAAGTTAAATAAGATCCCAGGGGCCCAAAGAAGACCCTCCTAAGCCTAACGACCCTCACCCCGGAGCAGAAGGCCCCCGCCCGGCGCACAGGATGTCGCTGGGAACACAGCAGCCGCTGTCGGAGCCGCAGGGGTCACAGCCTTGGCAGGCAGTGAGCAAGCAGGCCTTGCGAGGGCAGGGAGCGTTTCAAGTGGGACCCGAGTGCTGTCCCTGCCCCACGCCCCAGGGGAGACTGCCACCTGATGGAGACCAGAAACGCACACACAGGACCCCCCAGTGCCGCGTGTCCTCTCTGCCTTCACCTCTGCCATGTAGGGCGTCACAGGACAGAGGCGCCGCCTGCCCACCAGCCGCCCTGTGGCTCTGCATCTCAGCAGGGCTTTCCTCTCCGCCCTCGCCTGCCTTCCATTAACGTCATTTCCTTCTGTTTCCAGAGCTGTCGATGATGAAATCGAGGCCGACCTGGAAGAGGTACTTGTAACTCCTTGAACTCCCTGCACTGCCCTGGACAGCCAGAAAGCAGAGAGACAAGTGGTAGCTCCCAGGGCTTAGGCGCCCCTGGGACTCCACCGTCAGACTTGGAAGCGAGGACACAGCCCTGGGGTCCGGGCCATCATTTGCCTGCTAGCGTGTGCTGGGCCCGCGTGCACGGGGTTGCCACTGCTGCACCGAGCAGTGCCTGCTTCCTGTATACGATGGCCATGCAGGGTGACACGACTTCTCCAGTCTCCTGCAGTTCTGAGAATGTGGCACGGTGGTAAATCCTGAAGGGCTTTTAGGGCTATAATCTAGGAATTTCAAATAGGCCCAATCCTTACAAACCCAAAGCTGAGGAGGGAAAAGCCCACAGAGGGCAAGGAGCTGGGTCCCCAGGCCCTGAGGTGGCTCCGTGATCAGCTGAGCAGATGCCAAAGCCTGTGCCACTTGTGGCCCCGAGGGGGAGCCTGAACAATCTCCAGCGGCCTCATGGACTGTGTGCACAGCTGTCAGAACCCTTCCAGAACATTCCAGTGATCTCTGTTAGTCTAGCTCACAGAGGGCCGCTGGGGTTGGATTCGCAGTTTACACACACTCCCTCACGTGTTTACACGGGGTCACTCGTGTTGTCCGGCAGCTTAGATCTCCACGGGGGGCGGGGGGGACGCCTGCTCCCCACTGACCCCGTCACCGCGCCTTGCCTTGCAGGCCGACGTCAGCGAGGATGACATTGACGATGGATTCCGGAGGCTGTTTGCCCAGCTGGCAGGGGAGGTAGGTGCTCCCGGAAGCACAGCTGTGCTCTGATTGGCTTGAAGGAAAAGGCAGGGTGGGCACCGTGGCACAGCTGCTGGAGACATCCACGTCCCACATCCAAGTGCCTGGTTCAAGTCCTGGCTACTCCACTTCCCATCTAGCTTCCTGCTCATGTGCACTCTGGGAGGCGGCAGATGATGGTTCAAACATTTGGGTTCCTGCCACCCGGCCTTGGCTTGGCTCAGCCTCAGCTGTTGCAGGCCTTTGGGGAGTGAACAGGGGACGGGAGATTTCTGTCTCTCCTGTTTGTCTCAGTGCTTTTTAAGTGAAAATAATCAACGATTTTTTTTATTATAATAAAATTTTTAAAGATTTGAGGGGCTGGTGCTGTGGTGTAGCAGGTAAAGCTGCCACCTGCGGTGCCAGCATCTCTAATGGGCACTGGTTCGAGACTCAGCTGCTCCACTTCCGATCCAGCTCTCTGCTATGGCCTGGGAAAGCAGTAGGAGATGGCCCAAGTCCTTGGGCCCCTGCACCCACATAAGAGACCTGGAAGCAGCTCCTGGCACCAGCTCCTGGCACCCAGCATCTGATCGGCCCAGCTCTGGCCGTAACAGCCATTTGGGGAGTGAACCAGCAGATGGAAGACCTCTTTCTCTCTCTGCCTCTCTGTAACTCTTTTTTTTTTTAAAGATTTATTTTACTTGAAAAAGATTTATTTAAAGGCAGAGAGAGAGAGAGAGAATCTTCATCTGCTGATGTACTCCCCAAAAATGGCCACAACAGCCGCAACTGGGCTGGTCTGAAGCCAGGAGCCAGGAGCTTCTTCTGGGTCTCCCATGTAGGTGCAGGAGCCCAAGCACTCGGGCCATCCTCTGCTGCTTTCCCAGGCTCCTTAGCAGAGAGCTGGATCGGAAGTGGAGCAGCCAGGTCTCAAACTGGCACCCATTTGGGATGCAGGCATTGGCTTTATCCGCTATGCCACAGTGCCAGCCCTTAATTGTTTTTAAAATAAATGTAAAGGTGGCCTACTTTGCATGCATTGTACGCTGGCTGCCTTGGGCTGCGGCCAGCTCCTGCAGGGCCCTGACACCGCTCTGTCGCACGCCCACAGGATGCAGAGATTTCGGCCTTTGAGTTGCAGAACATCCTGAGACGAGTCCTGGCGAAGCGTAAGTGTCCCCTTGTTGCCGGGCCCCCCGCTGGCACCTTCCTCCGTGGACACTGTCACCCTTCCTTCCCATCGCTGGTGTGGGCTGCCCGGGCTAAACCCTAACCCCTGCTCCTGTGTAAACAGCCTTCCTCACCGCCAAAGCACTAGACCTGGTGTTCAGGGTCCAGAGACCAAAGAGCTCTGCTTACCACTCTGTCACCCAGATCAAGTTATGTAAGCCGACTCGTCTCCTTACCTGTAAAATGGGCGTATTACCACTTATCCGCCCAAGGTGGCTGAGCACCTCAGGGGAGGCAGGCTGCAGAAACCGCCTGGCTGTGGCCTGTGTGCCCTCCGTGGCAGCTGTTACAACAGTGAAACGGGGAGGAAAAGCTGAGCACGCCCAGATAATGGGAGCCACAGTGCTGTCCTGAGTGCTGAACGCTGACTCTGCCTGGGCGGGAACCGTGGATACAGGGAGGCCTCCAGGCTGGAAAATAAGTGGCCATCTGCTACACAAACTAGGGATGAGACGACCACTGCCGTCTCCTTGTCTTGCATTCAAATGAGCCACTTCGGACCAGTTCCTTGCCGGTCCGAGAAATGTCACCTCACTGGAGCCACTGGGCCGAACAGGCGACTTCCACACTCCAGAAATCCTGCTGCCAACCAGGTGGTCAGGGCTGCGCCTCTCACCCCGCCTCAGCCAAGGAAGCCCTCCCTGCCACCACTGCGGATCCCTCCGGTGGGAGGTGGGAGGTGGGAGGAGCATGGCTCCCCCACTCCATCCCTCGAATTTTCCCAAGAATCCAGGGGCTTTTGGCCAGTGAGCTGCTCTAAGTCTAGACTGGAAACAAACGCGTGTCGTGTCCTCACATGAGCCCAGGCACCCTCAGGGGGCCTCCAGCCTGACTTTGTGGGACTACAGTCAGTCCTCCTCTTGGGGCCCGCGAGGAGTCAGAGCCAGCTGGCCTCTTCCATGCCCAGGCAAGGGAACCACGTGCACCTCACAGAGATGAGTACCTGGGGTCGGGACGGCCCAGGCACAGCCAGCCCCTCAGGGGCCTTCCCCGAGGCTGGCCTTGACTGCACCCCTGCTGTCGAGAGGCTGGTGGTGACCCATGAGGCTGCCAGGCACAAGTGAGGTCAGTGTGGCTGTCATGAGCCCGAGGAGACTGCGGCCTCATTGTCCCTGCACAGATGGAGGCTGGGGGTGGGGTGCGAGGCGGGAAGCATCAGGCATTGCTTGCATTCAGCGGCTCCTGGCTGGGGCAGGCGCATTCGCGTCACACATGCCTCCCGCTGCTGCCTGGTGGGGACGCCAGCCTTCTGCCCCATGCCCGCACCCAGGGAGGGGCTGGTACCCAGAGTGGCGGTTCTGAGGCAAGTTAGCTTCTCTCTTAAGGACAAAGCAGAACAGGTTGCTACTTGGGAAGGTTCTCGTTTGTGACAAGGGTCTCATGACACCAGCCTGCCACTGTGAGACCAGTCTCGCCTCGGGGGACACAGGAGCTCCTTGGGCAGCTTCCAGGTCCTCGGCCAGCTGGGGACACAGCCTCCCTCACCCCATCCTGTGACAGGTCTGCGTGAACACACCTGCCCAGCACCACAGGTGACTTTCCACCTTGTGGGCACTCAAAGGCCAGTCACCAAGCATCCCTTTATGGATCTTTTTTTTTAAGCGTTTATTAAAACCCTGTTTGCCTGTGGCAGATCTACAGAGAAGTCAGGCAAGTGTAAGCACACACCCTGCACCTGTCCTGGCATGGAAGCCACCAGCCACGTCCAGACCAGAACAGCTCCCTCGCCATGAAGTTGTTGGCACAACTGCGGAGAGCGTTCTTGTCATGGGCTTTTGTCTTTCAGGACAAGATATCAAGACAGATGGCTTCAGCATTGAGACCTGCAAAATCATGGTGGACATGCTCGACGTATCCTTTAACGTGCCGGGGAGATGGGGAAGCGTCCGCTCTCACCCGGGGAGAGCCAGACGTACCACCCTCTGCAAGGTTGCTGCAGGGTTGTCCATGCTGAGTTCCCTGGCCAGGGAGACAAAAGGCCTCCCTCAGCCGCACCCCCAGCCTCCAAGGGTAGGCCAGGCAGCAAAGTCCTGACAATGCACCCCTTTCTGTCCGCAGCAGCCAGAGCCCGGAACTCAATCTGGTCTCCCAAGTGAGCAGCATGGACCCCTGCTGCCTCCCAGGGTGTGCATTAGCAGGGAGCTGGAACGAGAAGCAGAGCTGGGACTCAGCCCCAGGCACGCGGACATGTGATAAGGGCATCCCAAGTGGCAACTCAACCGCTGTGCCATACCCTGCTCCCCCAAAACTCTAATATTTCTGAGTAACTGTTTCCTCTGGTCAAGACTGTCTGCAGGAAAATCTGGCCCTTGGCCCTCGCTCCTTCCTGGGCCTCTCACCTGTCCCTGAGGCAAACCCACAACCCACTTCCCCTCGTCTCCCACGCTCAGGAGAGGCTACAGTGAGGCAGCCTGGGCTTCTGTGCATTTCACCAGGGAGCTCCTGGCACATGCCCATGACGCAGCTCCCTCCCACCCCCTGAAAGGCCTAGGAATGTTCTAGATTCTACTCAGAAACCATCAGGGGTCTGCCATGAGAAGGCGGTGGAAGCCCTCTGTGTGTTACTTGGTAGCTCATTTTTTAGGAGGGTCTGGCACCCCAGATCAAAATAGCAACCAAACAGCCAGCCTATGGCGGCCCCTCCTTCAGCCCTTCAGTAGGGACTGGCCCCATGGGGTGCCCCAAGGAGACCGATGACAGGACAACCCAGGCTCCGGGAGCTTTCCTTGACTGAGGGCAGTCAGATGGGACTGGCAAGCTGGGGCTGAAGGAGTTCTATGTTCTCTGGACAAAGATTCAGAAATACCAGGTAGGACCATGGGAGGGCCTGCCTCGTGGCGCGGCAGGGGAGCGTCCTGTGTGTGTGCTGTCAGGCAGGTGGCTGGGGGGACACCGCTAAGAGAACTGGGAATGAGTTAAGACAGGCCTGGGTGAATGCAAGTGAGGCGAGCTGTTCCCTGCCTTCCCCTGGCGAGTCACCTAAATGCCACCAGCCGGGGGCAGCTCCAGTGCAGCAGTTACATAAGGCAATTGCACGGGTCCAGGGTCGCTGGCCAGCTCCCACAGGCAAAATACCAGCAGCTATGAAGGCTGGAACACAGCGACTCTCCCAGGGCTACAGCCAAGAAACTGGAAAACCTGCTCCTCACCAGCACACACCACAGCGGTCACCTGCCACCTGTTTTGCTTTGGTTCACCATTCTTCTGTTTTTCATGTTCCAGAAAATTTACCGGGAAATCGACGTGGACAGGTCTGGCACCATGAATTCCTATGAGATGCGGAAAGCCCTAGAAGAAGCAGGTAACCCTGCGTAACAGGGCTTTCTTTTCCTTTGTTCTCTCTCTGTAGAACATGTGAACACCCACTCTGTACCACAGTACAAAGTGTAGTGAGCTATACAGTAGACCCTGGCTGGATGCAAACACATCCTTTCCGTCCCCTTTCAAAGCCTGATTGGTAAAGTTGACCCCAGGCCAGGAGCCTCTGCCGTCTCTGCTCTCTTGAGCCCCGGTGTCCTGGGGAGCAGCCTGGCAGGGCATCCGGGCAAAGCCAGTTCTCAACAGACTCCTCCCCAAGCAGAGGAAGATCAGGCTGAAGTGTAGCTTAGCCAAGGGGAGCTCGCCAGCAGAATTAGCCAGCGATACCAGGGACACAGCAGAGTAAGGAGACTGGTGCGCACACCATAAACAAGATTTATTTAAAGGCAGGGGAGAGAGAAGGATCTTCCACCTACGGGTTCACTCCCCAAATGGCCACAACAGCCAGGGCTGGGCCAGGCTGATGCCGGGAACCTGGAATTCCATCCAGGTCTCCCACATGGGTGGCAGGGGCCCAGGCATGCAAGGCATCCATCGTCTATCAGCAGGAAGCTGGAATGGAAATAGGGCAGCCAGAACTCCAATCAGCAGTCTGTAGCATCCCATGTCAGTCACAAGCTGTAGCTTAACCCACTGTGCCCGACCTCTAGCACAAATAAATGATTTTCATTTACTCGAAAGGCAGAGAAACACTGATCTCCCCCATCTGCTGGTTTACTCTCCAAATGCCCTCTGCAGACAGAGCTGGGAATTCAATCTCGGTCTCCCATGTGGGTAGCAGGGATCCAACTACTGAAGCCAGTACCTGCTGCCTCCCAGGAGTGCATTAGCAGGAAACAGACAACAGCAGAGTGGAGGCTCCAGCCAGGCACACCCAGATGGGATGCAGGCCCCAGGCTCTTCCTCCTTTAGCTGGGATACAGTGTTGCGGCAGAGACCCCAAGTAACCATGGAGTAAACAAAATCCATCTTTCATTCAGGTTGGACAACAACCCAAGTTCAGGCAGGCCAGGGCCGATGGGCCTCCCAGGCTCCTCCTGTAGCATTGCTGTGCTCCTGAGGCTGCCAGCCGCTGTGGCCACATGCCGCCAGCTGCTGGGCAGGACTCTGTGCCTCGAAGGACACACATGTCCCTCGCACTCTCACACACTGTGCCGGCCAGAACCTGGTCACAGCCTCAGACGGCTGCAAGGGCAGTGTTGCTTCTAGGCAGCGTGGGCCTGCTAACGTGTGTTGTGCTGCAGGCAGAGGGGGACTCAAGTACTTTCCCACATGTGGTTCCCGCCACACACATCCAGAACAACCCGGGCTCCGAGGTGAACACGGGGCACGGCGTGAGGCAGCCCCATGGGAAGGAGCCGGCAGGAGTGTCTTGTAAGGAACAGGCAGGGTGACAGGGACCTGGGGGGAACAGCAGGAACGCGGCTCAAGGACAGCGGCGGTCGGAGCTGGGCTTCCGTCCGGTGCTCAGTGGTCGCTGTGTGTCCTCACCTCCAGGCTTCAAGCTGCCCTGCCAACTGCACGAGGTCATCGTCGCTCGCTTCGCCGACGACCAGCTCATCATCGACTTCGACAACTTCGTTCGCTGCCTGGTGCGACTGGAGACGCTCTTCAGTGAGTGCTGGGGGGCAGATCCGCCTCCGTGCTGCCCGCGGCACAGCCCGAGCGCAAGCTCCTGAATCAGAGAATGAGATTCCCGCCTTTACTGATGCCGGGAAGGGGAGGAGATGGACGCCAGCTGGGGGGGGGGGGGGGGGCCTGTGCACTCTCATGAGGTCCCTGTCTCTTGCTCCCTCTGCAGAGATATTTAAGCAGCTGGACCCCGACAACACTGGCATGATACAGCTCGACCTCATCTCTGTAAGGCTCCTGAGGGGACGCGGGAGGAGGAGGGGGCGGCGGGCTCTGACTTGAGCAAGCTGCTTTTTAAAGGTCGCCTGAAAAACCTTTTGGGCTGTTGGGTTCAGGCCCTCAGAGAGGGATGAAGTCCCACGCACGCTTGCCTTTGCTGTTTCCCAACCACCTGCTGAGTCTGAGTCCAGGAAACACAGCCGGCTGGCTAGCTCTGCCCGTGAGCTTGGAGGGAGGCTGCAGGATCGCACTTAGGAAACAAAGTGCAGCTTAGCGGGGAGGGGGCGGGGTGCTGGCACAGAGACACCCTGCGGGGAGATCTGTTACTCCTAGGACAGACCTGCGGCAAATACCTCCTGAGCAAATTCGTTTTCTCCCGTTTCCCTGTTTAACAAAAAAGCAAAGCCAAAAATATTCTCTTGTGGTCCTGCTGACAGCAGGTTCCCCCCACTCAAAGCCAGGTCTCTGGTCTCCTTTCTCTGTACTCAGGGAAACTGAGCCACAGTGGGACATAGTGAGGTGGCCAGGGCAGGGGGGGGGAATGGCCAAGTCATCAGTCCCATCCCCACGTAACAGAGGGCAAAGTGGAAAGGACGGCAGGCTTGAAGGCCTCCCAACTCCCATCCTTGAAGTCTAAATTCCGCAGGAAGTCAGCAAAGTTCCTTTAGCCAACTGAAAACAGTTTAGCTGGGACAACAGTAACTCCTGGAACCACGTGCAGCCCAGGACCCATTCCTGAGAGTGTGACGAGAAACAGGCTGCGGCCAAGTCCTGGGAACGCCATTCTCCTTCCTCACCGGCCTGGGCTGCGGTGTCAGCCTCCTCTGCCCACTTGCTCCCCACTTCCTCTGAGCAACGTCAGATGCCATTGCGAAGCCTCACCTCCCACACAGGCTAGAGACCCCCACCTGTAGTAATTGCGGCTACTGAGGCCGAGCCATGTCCTACAGCTCTCCCCTTCTGTCTGCAGCAGCTCATGTCACCTGGGAGCTCCAGGCTGAATCCAAAACCAACTTAATCAGAATCTAAGTTCCCATCACACTCCGGTGTAGATCCAAGAACCGTCAGTTTCAGAGATACCCACATCCCAAATAACTCACTGAGAAGTAGAGCGCCAGAGACAGCACAGGGTGGGGGGGTCTTCCATCTGCCGGTTCACTCCCCAGATGGCTGCAATCGCCAGGGCTGGGCAGGCCAGAGCCAGGAGCCTGGGACACCATCCAGCTCTCCCGTGTGGGGCTGTCATCCCACAGGCGTTAGCAAGGAGCTGGACTAGAAGTGGGATAGCCAGGATCCAAATGCACACTCCAATCTGGATGCTGGTGTGACAAGAGGTGACTTAGCCCACTACACCACAGTGTCCACCCCAAACTAGGTTCTGATCCACCCTGGAGCACAGGAGTGAAAACCCTAGTTCACACGTTGTCTGAGTTTCATTTTGATGTACCCAGCCCTGCAACAGAACTGGAAACCACAGACCTGTGTAAAAGCCCAGAAGCCGGAAGTTAGGTGGAGGAAATAGTGCACTGGCGTCCTAGCCATTGATCTAGGGTAGCAATCTTCCAGCCATCTCCTGGAGCTCACGGAGCCTTTCCTGTAAAATGGCCCTGCGCTGACTGGTGTCTTTCCTTCCTCACAGTGGCTCTGCTTCTCCGTTCTCTGAAGTTACGACTCTGCCTGAAGACTTAGGAAAAGAAAAGTAGCCAAGAACTAAGGTTCCACGGACCTTGAAATTATGGGAACATTTACTGAAACCGATGATCATAGCTGAAAATAATACTATTTGAGATAGCCAAACTTTCACATATCAAAGATTTGTATATCATATTAAATGCAAGTGAGTAATCCTTGATAAACTCAAAGAAAGCTTTCAGTCTGTACATAGTGCACACTTTTTACTTTTACACACCTTCCCATTGATAGCAATATTAAACCAGAAAAAAAAAATGCAGGGAAGTACCTAACAACGGAGCAAACCTGAAGTCTTATCTCCCAGGACACCAGGCCCTCGATGGGAAGATTTAAAGTAACTCCGTGTTTAAAAATGCAAGTGTGGCATCAACCGGATGGCAGCCCTGACTGCCGTTCCCCCCAGGGAAACTGGGAAAGGCACTGTCGGGAAGCGACCTTGTCACAACATCTAGAGCCCGGTGGCAAAGCACAGCACCACTGTTTGACTTAAACAAGAGACGGCCTTTAAGTGCCACTCACGGGTAACCGTGAATCATTCTCGAACTTGCGCATGTCTGGCCTTATGCACTTAGTCTCCCACAGCCAAGGCAGTTCTACTCCTGACCAGCTGACGCTCCAGTTCACACGCTGGTCCCACAGAGGGCAAAACAAGTTCCTGGTGCCCCAAAACTTTATGAACGGCACCACGTAGTGTGCTTGTGCACAGTTAAGGGACACCACTTAGGAATTCCTGGAAATGACGCCACCTTGTTTCCTGGCTCGATCATGGGGAACTGCTAGCAACATTCTAGAAATACCGCCTTGTTGCCTTATCCTCTTCCAGATGTACTGTTGAATAAAGTTGCCCATGCAATCTTAACACTTAGCTGCGTTTTCCTTCCCCGAGGGTGGACCCGTGGGATGGTTTATGAGCACACAATTACAAGTTTGCGTATTGAGAAGAAACGGCATCTTACCGAGAACATAACTGTGGAACTATGAGCGTTTCTGCTAACTTGACCATCTAGAGCAGCTCTGGCTTCTGCCTCCTGCTGGTCCCTGAAGGCACCATCTGCAGCCGCAGAATCACTCAGCAGCCCCCGTCGGCAGATTCCATCACTGCTCTGCTGCTGCTGACCTCTGGAGGAATCCTAAAAAACAGGGAAGATGTCAGATGACCCGAGATGGGCAGGTGCCATCCTGCTGTTCCCCGACAACGATGCATTTCCCGAACTCAGGTTCCACGAGTGAAGTTCTTGCTTGCTGAGTGAACTTGGAAGGCCCAGAATCTGGAGTAGTCCCAGTTGCTTGGGGACACAGCTCTTCTGTTCAGCTGCACGGGTTTCACATAGATGTCTGGGTGGACTTGGGACCAAGGGTGGGCATGGGAAGTGTGGCTCAAGGACCAAGGGATGAGGGAACTGCAGGCGATGGCAAAAGTGGTTGAAACCGGGACCAAGTGGTCCAAGCTGAGGAGGGGATGGGAGTGAGGGCTGGAGGGGTCTGCAGAGCCCGGCAGAGTGGGGCAGAAAGCAGGTCCCTCTCGGGCCAGAGGCTAGTCCCAACTGGATGGGTGGTGAGGTGGATTCATTCTGAGAGGAGCGTGGTAGGGGCAATAGGCACGGAGTCACCACACAGACCCTGGGAGTCAGGTTAAAGCGGCCCAGAGGCGAGCAGCCCAGACTCGTTTATTTCAGTTGGTACAGCAGTTTATATAGCCAAGGCAGCCAATCTGGTCAAGGGGCGGTCTATGCCCTAACTAATCACAGCCTGTTGCCAGGCAGTTTCCGAAGCCATCCAATCACAGCCTGTTGCCAGGCAGACTCCATTGTCATGCGGTTTCTGAAGCCATCCAATCACAGCCTGTTGCCAGGCAGTTTCCATTGCTAGTGGCCATCTTGGCATAGCCTTCTCATTCTACCACATTTCCCCCTTTTTATTTTTGAGCAACGGGAGGCATGATCCTTGGCCATACCATTGTTGACCCTGTTTCCATGTGGTCTCTGTACACGGCTGTGCCTGTCTTAGGTTGTCCCCCAGGGGATCTTACCCGTCACTGACTAACCAGTGCTCAAAACGGGAGACCACAGGAGTGCTTGCTCAGATAGGGGTAGGAATGAGGAACAATGGTAATCAAGAATGGCATGACCACACACAGGCTATGTGCCATTCGAGTAGCTGACCAGAGCTAGTGGGTATAAAACAGTAGTGGATGTGGCTATGGGCAGTTTCTCAGGGTAGGATGATAGGGCAGGTACATCTGCTAACAAGGCAGACTCTCAGTCTTGTTCAGCTGGTTCTGGTTGACTATCAGTTGCAGGCTTGATGTTTCTGGCTGGTACCCAAATGGGCTGTCCCACATTCTTTGGAAAGACACAAGCATATCCTCACTCTTGGTTAGCAGAAGCCTTTCTATGGGTGTTGGAATCCAGGGCCTGAATTCTGCATCCATTCCTATGTTAATGGCAAACATGCGGGTGGAATGTGGTTTAGCGGCTGCCCTGAGAGCCTGGGGTGCCTGGGGACTGCCACAAATGTGGGGATCCTCACTGGGTGAGGATGGGATGACCTCACATGGGTTATTGCCTCGAGGTCATGTAAGTTTATCCCATGGGTATTTGAGGGGTGGCTGACTAGGCACTGCTACATTGTCTGCTGTCATGTCATTTTCACTGTTGGAGCTCGGAGCTCTCCCCAAGTCATCAACTGTTGCCTGTGTGGCAGACGCCTGGAGTGACAGGCTCTCATCACTTGGTAACCTGTGTGGGATTCTGAGAGGGGGTATCTTTCCTGTGTTTGACTGTTTAAGAGCAGCACATCATGCCAACTTTAGCCAAAAGAAAGACATGCACAGCACTGCTGCCATAACAAAACAAATTCCTAGCACCTCAGCGGCTGATGGCATTCTGCAGGGGTTCCCTACATTAAATGAACAGACAGTGGTGTTTCAGATCGTATGTATGTCCTGTGCTTAGTGGGGGACTTCCTTGAATCATTAGGTCAAGGCTGTATGCCCACATGGTGTCTCCAGAGCATCACCTCTCTCGAGTGAGGGAAGATGGCTTAGTTCTGAATTCTGGGATGATCAGTCCCTTATGTGAATTCGCTGGGCGAACTGAAAGTAGGAGGAGCAGAGAAGTGGCATTACGCTTCTGGGTGGCGTGTGCCTAACCTGGGGTCACTTCAACCGAGGATAAGGACAAGGAAAGGGGTATAGGAGGAGGTTCTGTGCTCACTCTCACAGAACCGAACAGCACACAAAATACCAAGGGGCCTACTTACTGAAATCAAGGGGGGACCTGGCCGAGTCCGACACATTGTCTCTCTCTCATTCACGTTGGCGCACCAGATGTTGAGGTGGATACGTTCTGAGAGGAGGAGTGTGGTGGGGGCAAGAGGCATGGAGTCACCACACAGACCCTGGGAGTTGGGTGAAAAGCAGGCCAGAGGCAAGCAGCCAGCAGACTCGTTTATTTCAGTTGGTACAGCAGCTTATATAGCTGAGGCAGCCAATCACTGTCATCTGGAGAGCTGACCTAGTTTATGATTTCACTTTCAACAATCTATTTTAGTTGTAACATGAGATAACAGTTAGAAAAGAAGGCACAGGCAGCTTCCGGGTTTGGGGTTCTGAATTGGCAGATTCAACTGACCATGGTGGAAAATCAGCAGGGAAGAAATTGCATGTGCATGGAACACGCAGGCTTCTCTTGTCGTCATTCCCTGACGCAGCGCAACAGCTACCACCACAGTGTCTTAAGTCTTCCAGAGAGAACCATGTGCACAAGTGCTGTGCAGACACCTGGCCATTTTAAAGAAGCAACCTATGCACCTGCACAGGCAGATCCCGAAGGGGGCCTTGGGAACAGTCCCTGAGGATACTGAGGACAACTCAGCAATTTTAGCAAAAACTGGGAATGACCAAGCCCTGAGACAGCCCCCAGCTGGCCACAGCCCCCGGCTGGCCACAGCCCCCACAGTCCCTCGTGCCCACACCACTCCCTACCACTGCCCGCCCTCCCTCCAGAGGAGCTTCCTGTACAGCTTTCCACACTGCCTCTCTAAGCTTTGTTTCCCACAGCCTCGCACTGGTACCACCCGGCTCACAGCCTGTTGTCTTCCTAGTCCCAGGCCCACCAGCGACCTCCCAATGCCAAACCCTACAAACACTCCCCGGCCCTCATCTCCCTGGACCATCCTGCCAGCTTCTGCTGACTGACTCCTCTCACTGACGCTCCCACACCCCACTCCCGTCCCCTTAAAATTCAAGCAGAGCTAAAGTCTGTGCACTCCCCGCTTTAGCATGGCCCCTTCTCCAGCTGCTTTATTCCCTTTATTTTGCAAGAATATAAAAATTCTGTTACCATAAACATGCAACCACGGCATCAACTGTAATACTTGAGAAGGGGGAGACAGCCGTATGTTCACCATGCAACTGAGGACTGCGTGATGACAGGCTGGAATATTATGCAGCCATTAAAAATCATGTCAATGTCTGTGATTCAATGTCAAGCATAAAACAGGGAGAGTACAGAGTACTTATACAGTGGGCTCTCCTTCAGTAAGAGGGGAAAAAACCATGGAAAAGTCTACAGAGAAATATGCCCAAGTGTTACTTGTTGCCTTCGGATGGTCCTTTCCCTCCCTCACAGCCTTTTTCTGTCATTGGTAATATTTCCCTAAAGGATAATTTGACAATAAGAAGTAAAAAAATGAATGTATTCTAAAGCTTCGAGTTAAGGAACATAAAAGATGATCACAGTTCCCTAATTCCCCATCTCCCCTGTCCATGCATGTGTAATTCTTTAGTTTACCAAGTGCCCTCACATACAGCAAACGGAATGGCTTTCCTCAACAACTCTGAAGTATGCATTGGCAATGGTATCAAACCACACTACACACGGCTTAGGGAGGTCAGGGGTCATGGGCAAGGTCACATGATGGGAAAGTGCCACAGCCCAGAACTAGAACCCATGTTGGATTCACTTGCTGTTGTGGCTGCAATGTATTAACACTAACTTAGAGGCTTGGAACACGTCCGCTCTCTCGTGATCCTGACTTAGAAGTCCCATGGAGCTGGGCGAGGCCTGGCTTCCAGGCAGGGCACTAAGGGGCAGAGCTCACCCCTGGGAGTGGCTGGGACTGCTCATCCATGTCCTTGCCGGCTTCTGCGTTCCTTGCTCTTCAAAGTCAGCAACGGCAGGTCAGGTCCTCTCTGTCCACGTCTCGCTGACCTCTCCTGCTACTTGAGAGGCTCACGTGGCAATCCGGGCCCACCGGGATAATCCAGGCGAATCTCATCACCCTGTGTAAGGCGAGCAGATTAGTAAACCTCGGTCAGCCTCAGAGTCCCTCACAGCATCATCCAGATCAGTGCTGGACTGACAGCCCCAGACACGGGGACGCTGGGGGGTGGAGATAGAACAGGGCACTTACACAGCTTAGGCTTGTTGCTGCTCTCCCCACCACCTGGAAAGCTCTGGAAGGTTGTCCTTCATCTCCCTTCCTTGCTAGAATTCAGCTGCTCATAAAAACGTACAGAAAGAGACCTTATACAGTGGTTTTTCATTTGCGTCTGCCATTAAAAAAGTTCCATTAAAACAGCTTCCAGAACAAGGCACAAACTCAGTAACATTAATAAACAATGTAGAGACTACACAAGTTTTCACCCCATAAATTAAGGCATGTGACTCCATGAGAAAACAAAATGAGGCCACTCACCTATCAAAAGCTCTAGGTAAAAGGAATAAAAAGGCTTCAATCACCACGGTCTCTAAGATCTTAAAAAAAAAAAAAAAACCCACTCACACTCATGACTGAAATTGAGGAATTCTAAAAACCTTAAGCCTTTAAACAAGGCTGCTTATCACATTAAAAATGCAGACCAGTGAACGGCTCTGAGTCAAAAAGCTGAATTTTATTACAATTGTTTTTCAGGTCAGCTATGATCTTGACAAATAGTACGGGTAAGCCTCTAACAAGTTTCTAATTCCCAAGATACAAAAGACAATAAATACAGATTCAAGTTTAGCCTAAAAACAAATCTAAATCTGTTTAGATTAGGTAGTGTAGCTTAGTTTCAGTATTTCAAATACATGTTTAATTCTTAAAATGCTACAAGAACTCAGATAGGAAAGGTATTGCTCACTGATGAGCAGTCCAATGGTGCACAGGCGCAGGGCACCCCTGAGCCCTTGTGCACAGCCCTGGAGGGCCCACTGGCGCTGAGGGCAGTTGGAGATGGCGACACCGGTGCTTTCTGGCAAAAGGTGGGACAAGGACAGGAGGTGAAAATGCCCACTGAGCACGACAGCTGATTTCCCAACACCCAGTAAATGGTCCTATTTCTTGCAGAAAACAAGACGGGCACTGTGCATCTCCGAGCGCTCTACGGGGCGGCTTTGCCAGCACAGCGCAGGCTGCGTGCGTCCGCACCCCATGTCACCCCGAACACGTGCCGCTCGTGAAGTCCTCCACCCTTCACTTTCCTCCAGGACGCGTTCTTCCTTGCTTTCCTGCTGCGCTGTCCTTTAAATGAGTCTCACGGAATTTTCACCAGAAACAGTCCTATTGCTTCTTAGTGACAGCAAAGCTTAATTCTTCATGGAGTAGAAGGCTGCAGCTTCAGGCCAGGCTCCTTTGCCTTGGTTTAATTCTTGGGTACAGCTGTAAGAGAGTTTTGGGAAGGTTTACAGACCATGTGGATGAGTGGGAGCGTAACAAAATTTCAAAAGTACGGCAGGAGGTAAGGTCTCACAGGAAGGAAGGAAAGTAAAAAAAAAAAAAGATACGCTATGCCCAAATGTACAAACACTCACATTTAGCAATGTTCTTATCAGTGACTCAGCGCAGGGCTCCAGCCAGTGACAAGACCACAGAACAATGACATAAAAGCCCATGACCACTCCAGCGATCAATGCCATCACTACGGATTGTTAAGCTATAAATCAAGTCTAACGAGGAAGACAGATTGCTCACAGTGGTTTGCAATATGCCACAAGTACAAAGTTCATGGGAAATGTTTATGATGAAAAAACTGAATGGACTCCAAAAATGCACCAGAACAAACTTGTCTGTTAATTCAACTTTCCACAAACTTTCTGAAGTATGCGCAAGCAACTGGGGTTTTCATGACTACTGGAGAAAACTAAGAAGATTAATGTCTTTCAACTTTATTTACAATGGAACTTAATACTGGAGACTCGAGACTGGCAGGGACAAAACGCCAAAATACAAGGCACAGACTAAGGAAGGACAGGTGTTCTTAGCTTCGGAGTTCTGGGGTTTCGTGTTCTCCCAAACAAGAGCGTGAGAGGGGAGGGCTGGCCAAGGGCTGCAGTAGAGAAGCCAGGCGCAAATCAAGTAATTCAACCCACAGCAAAACAAAAACCCTCTGCCCATGACACAGGAGGGAAAAGGAGCTCCCTCAAAGACAGCCAGGCTTCCAGGAGAAGACGGCGGGGTCGAAGTGCTGAAGGCCGACTTTCCCGTCCAGGCAGATGCGTGGCCAGGCCAGCTGTCTACGCTGTCTGGGCTTCAGAGTAAAATCCTCAACGTTTCTGCATTTGCCCTTTGTTAAATGTTGTGTGGACACACTGGCGACGAGACCCACGCCGGGAGACCCAGAGGTCTGCTGGTGGCTACAGGGCCACCTCTAGCCCGGCCCACGGGTATGGGCATCAACCTGCTGCTGCCCCACCCAGGACAAACCCGCTGTGAGAAAATGAAATTCACTCACGAGGCCCACAGCGGACAGGCTTCTTGAAAACTGCTAAGAAGACAGATCTCAGGTGTTCTCGCTGCCCAAGAGCAGTAACGCACACTCCGTGCAGTAATGCAGTGCATGAGCCTGAGGCAGCCAGCCTGCACTACACCTGTCTCACAGCTTCTTGTACACCATGAGCTGCGGGAGGCAGGGCGCTGGCAGACAAAGGCCGTTAAGAGGCACTCGC